CCGTTGTAAAACTAAATTATTTTTATTATTATTTTGATCCATAAGCAGTCAAATCATATCAACCATGTCGGGAAATTGTGTTTTACAACGGAAGTTTTGTTTCTGTTGTAATGGTTATAAATAAGTTTTGTTACTATTTTTAAAATTGTTGTTTTTTAAAAAAGACGAATTATTTTGTGGATAAGAATTGAAAAATTATCGTTTGATTGTATATAAAAAGCCCGATTTTGTCTTTGAAAAGACCTGTTGTTTTTGAGAAAAAAAAAGATAGAAAAAGTAGTTGATTTTTTTTGTTTTGTTGAAGAATTAATTTATTGGTATTTATAGTTTTTTAAACTAAACTATAATTATTCCAATAGAAACCAAAAAAATAGATTATTGGGTGGTGAATCAAAGTTAAAATTGTTCATATTTTTTGGTTTGTAGTTGAAAATGTAGTTATTTTATTATAGTTTTATTGTTTAAGATAAAGTATTAAACTTTTGGTTACAATAAAAAAATAAATCAATTAACTAAAATGTTTTTAAAATAGAAGGTTTGTAACATTATAGTAAATTACTCAGATAATATAATATAAATACTATAATAAATTTTACTATATTCATATTATTCTATAAAACTTTTGTTATTGATTAATTTTTTTTTGTTTTATAATTTTGGACCTAAAAATAAAATTATAAAAAAATAACAAAAAAAACATGAAACAACTCTATACCATATTTAAATAGTACAGTATATTAGAAACATAATACAATTTTATAAGAACATATAATAATATAATAATTAATATTATTTTTTAAAAGTACAAAAACAAAAAGTGATAACACAAAAAAAACAATTATTGAGGAATTATCTTTTTAATACAAAAAAAAACGCCATATTTAAACAATCTCGAAAAATCATCACTTATGTTTCGCCCATTATTCCAGACAAAGACAAAGCCAATAAACGCCGCTGTTCGTTACGACAAAAAATTAGATGATGTGTTACACAATACATTTCATATTGCAGACTTTCGTCCCCAACAGCGTGATATTATATTATCTACACTAAATAACACCGATACTGTCGTTATCATGCCGACCGGTGGTGGTAAGTCCTTGTGTTTTCAACTTCAATCGGTCTTAACAAACAAAATCACCATAGTCATCTCACCACTCATATCACTCATGCAGAACCACGTCGATGCACTTAACGCGAGAGGTGTTGTGTCGTACATATTCAATTCTTCCCTTACAAAGAGTGAAGCGTCACGCGTCCTTGCTATTCTCAATTCAACATCACCGGAACTCTACTTGTTGTACGTCACACCCGAGCAAATCAAAACGCAGCGCTTTCAAAACATTATGAACAAGTTGAACGACAACGGCAAAATCGGGTTGTTTGCAATCGACGAAGCGCACTGCATTTCACAGTGGGGCCACGACTTCAGACCGTCGTACCTTGAACTTTCTTACTTAAAGCAGACGTTTCCTCAGATCCCCGTCATTGCGTTAACTGCAACGGCAACTGAAAAAGTGAAGGACGACATCATTAAAGCACTCGGGCTTAAAGATCCAAACATTTTCACATCAACTTTCGATCGACCGAACATCTACTTCCGCGTGTTGTATAAGGACCTCTACGAGAATCCACAAGAGGAGCTCTTGAAGTATTTGACACAACATCAACAGGAGGGGGGGATCGTCTATTGCTCGACCCGGAATGAGTGTGAATTGCTTGAAAAGTACTTGAAGAGTAAAGGGTTTCGAGTTGGGAAGTATCACGCGGGGATGAGTGCGAGTGATCGAGAAAGTGTTCAAAAGATGTGGGAGAGGAAAGAGACGGGGATTGTAATAGCGACTGTGGCGTTTGGGATGGGGATTGACCGCAGTGATGTTCGATTTGTTGTGCACTGGAACATTCCGAAGAATATAGAAGGGTTCATACAAGAGGCGGGGAGAGCTGGAAGAGATGGGAAACCAGCGGAGAGTGTGATCTTCTTTGGGAATGATGATTTTTCGCGAGATAAAGCTCTAGAAGGAGAAAAGAGTGAAGAGATTCGAGAATTGTGTGTGGAGTGTGTGTGTCGAAGGAAATGTATATTAAAACACTTCTGTGAGACTTTAGAAAGGAAGAACGAAAGATGTTGTGATCTGTGTAATGAGATGGGAAGAGTTAAGGAAGACTTGGAAAAGGTCAAAATTAAATTGTCGAGAGGGAACACCCGAACAACGACAAAGCCACTGACTATAAAGAATCCGGAGTTCAAAACTGCGTCAGTTATTACAGAAAATGAACGAACAAATTCATTCCAGTCAGCATCACAATTACTCGAGAAACAAAAACATGCGAAACGTGAGAATCGCAGTATCGAAAAGAAGGAGTGCGAGAGTAAACCACGGAAGTGTAAGGGAGATGAAGGACTGAAAAGTAATGCAACTAAGATCACTGATTTTTTTGGACAAAAAAAGAAGAAATAGGCGTGAGGAGTATACTGTAAACTTATTATCTGTATTGTTATTTTTGTGTTTGGTTGTTGTAAACCAATGAACAGAATCATGGTTGACCGTATTGCATGCGATAACTATATTTTATAATTAAATTTATTATATTTTTAGATTGAAAACCTTAACTAGTTTATACCCAACCATGGTATAAACTAGTGTTATGGTTGGTCTAATTTAGTGTACAACTTATTGTGAAAGTGTTCGTTTTATTATTCACTAATTTTTGGATTAAGTCAAAACGGGTTAAGCAAATTTTGAATTTGTATGGAACTAGCAGGAGAAAATCCGAAGTTATTAAGTATCAAGGAATAGACTGAAACTGAAGAAATAGTTATTTGATGCTCAGAGCAGCGAACGAGACAACTCAAAACAAGAAAAGAAAGGAGTTGGTAAGATGTACATTCGATAATAAATCCCTCCAACTTGTTGTTAACTCAAATATTCGTTTCGAAATATCTAATAAACAAAATGAAGGGATGATGAGTGAATTACTATTATCTGCTAACAAAGATAAGGTAGACGTGCATTTGGACAATAATCTGGTAAAGCCTTTTGGTGTGTATATGAATTACTTGACCAAAAAATTTCCAATGTGTAAAGGTGAAGGTATTGGGTATGCATCTTATATTACTCTGTCACTTCTCCGTTTTGGTGTTTCTATTCAAAATGCATTAAAAGAAGGAGAGAAGCTACTCAATGACAAAACACAAACTGAGAGTGACAAACATAAAGCAATTCTTATTCGAATAATTCCCAACTTATCATTTGAAATTATAGAAGTGATGAAGGTGTTTAATGACAAAGAGCAATTAAGTTGTTTCGAAGAACTTTTAACTGAACACACCGAGAACAATAAAGTTGTTGAATCATTTCTCTTTTGGTTAAAACAAAGAAAACACAAAAGCTTTTCCCCAGAAAGAAGATCAGTCCATAAAACATTACCTCCATCAGTTTTCAAACAACCCAAAAAGTGGGAACAAGAAAGAAATGCAATATCTGGTGGAAGTTCACCGGTACCATTTTGTCGAGTGAAATCAAAATCACAAATGTTTCTATCAAGTGAAATATCAGCTAAATTGATTGATAGAGTTGACTATACGACTAAAGTGTATACATTAACAGACAAACAAAATGATTGTATAATTACACTACAAGCAGCTTCAAAAACATTTATTGTTAAAAACAAATTCAACTTTAAGAAAATGCAACAAAGGAGAGATACAATAAAGA